ACTGTAAATCTACTGTATAAGGCAAAAAGAAAATCTGACATCCTGGATACAGTTGTCTCTGTGGCTAGCGCCTCTTCTGAAACTACTGGTGCTGTCAGTGGCCGAGTAGCTCCCTGTGATTTACGATGGCTTTTCCAGCCAATCAAACAGTCGCCGGCCATCTGCCTTCTTGCATCGATCGATACACCAACATAAACGCTGAAAATGCTTCAAACATCCGCCCAGACAAACTGAACGTGTCTTATACTAAATACTAAAGAAATATATCGTCAAATAAAAAATAATATGCAAAGAATACACAATATTGTTGTCAAGGTAGGACCTGTGGCCTGTATGATCTCATAAGCTTGCTGAGAGAGCAAAGGCACACACTTTCAGATGGTGACACACAAAAAGCCTTCCTTAAAAACAGATAAGCAGACGGTGTGATGTGTGATGTATGGCATCACACCGTCTGTGTGACTCGGATGCCATGGCATCACAGCTCCCACGGAGTCACACACCCACAGCGCGGCCGACTACAAACCAGCTGCGGATCCAATGGTTGGAGGAGCTCGTTTTTCTGTCAGACTGATATGTCATGCATTCACACCAGCACATGTGTGCGCATCTGTGCGTGACGGGCGGGATGTCTTAATGGTAAGATGACTCTCACACTTAAACATTCCAAACTTCTGGGAGTCATAAAGACGCAAAAGCAACGTGCATCCACGCAAGGGTGATTTAAGCTGGACAGGCGAGGAAAATATCAGTATAGAAACGTTTCACATATTTGTTTTTTTTTTTTGTCCTTTGGCAGCTTCTTGATTGTGTTTGTGCAGTGGGGTTACAGTAATGTGCATGTGGCATATGAAAACTGTTTATTATCTCAGAGTCTCACACGTTTGCTTATCTATTGTCGAGGCGAAAAACACTAACAGATGCAGGTCCTCACTCACATCTGGGCAACTCATTTTCAACTTGCCAAATACAAGCTTTAGTTTCTTTGCTACTCTAGAAAAATCTGCTCTGTAGATGCAAACTTTTATGGCAATAAACACAAATAATAGGATGGATTATTTGGCAGGTTAAGAATAATGGAAGAAAATTTTATTTCAGACCATTTCATTTAATCAATTCAATGGTATGTAATACCCCTGACAGACAGGATTTGATGCATTTTACAGCCACCCCCAACAAATCTGCAAGTGTGGGAATTATAAAGACTATTGTTATAAAAGAGCTGACAAAAACTGAGCTCTGCGCTTCCACAGCAGCCCGGCTGCCATCAGCATCCAAAGAGCAACCATGCAGGGGCTCTCCGACCCAACAGCGAGATGGCAAAGCAAACACGTACCGCACCGGGATACATCTGCTTGTTGGTATCAGTGCATGGGAGTCATTATTTCCTGAATATCTACTACGCTTTTAACCGCCTCACTCTTAACTCCATACACACTGCGTGGCCCAGCAAATGCATTTCCACACTTCTGATAGAGCTTAGCGTGTAACAAGCCGAGGAAAATAACCATTCCCTGAATAAATACATAGAAATATGTTCGCTGCAGCCCTGGTGGGATCTTATCAAATAATCTATTTTAACTTGAATAATAGCTAATGTTTTGACATTTGTGTTTAAAAACTGATTCCTTATCATAGAGGAAATAAGATAAGTGGAGTCTTTATTGTCCCTGTCATTTTTCCAAAGTACTACGACATTGGGGGTGCTGTTGACTCACTATGAGTTATAAAACTAGAAGAAAAGTGTTGGATAACAAATGAAGTATAAAAGTAGGTAGTAAAGTGTACAGAGTTGCGCTGGTAAAATGGTATAGAGAGAATCTAAACAGAAAACTCTTGGATGGTCCCATATGTAGATTGCACCTAGAAGAGTCCGAACTGAACTGTTCATGTCCTGCAATGCCCCAATCGGTCAAAACTAACATCTAGCGTGACGCTCTGCAACTCTCTGGCCCGTTTTGGGTTGCAAACATGGAAACACAGTGTGCGAGTGCCGTGTAAACCATATTGGCACACAAACACTGCACCAGCCAGTGCCAGGCCAGCAGTTATGGCCCGTTCGGCTGATTGAGTCATGTCATGTCATGTAAGAGGTGGAGCCCAGAACCAAACATTTTTACAGCCTCCATAATAACAAGCTAGGTCTGCCCTTAAATGGCATCTGGCTGACACGCACATGTACGTGTGCGTGTGTGTGT